ATTGTCAACGAAGCCTTATCCGTAATAGTATATTATGCAACAATCGCGGTAAACGGAATTTCACTCACGAGTTTTTTATTTTCGAGTGAGTTAAAAAGTTTACCGAACGTGTTGCATACTATACTTTTTCTACGACCGTTAGTTTTTGCGTAGATTTTCGCAAAACAACACTGACATGACCGTCAGAAATGACAAACGTCAAAATTCAAAGCGTGGAAAATATCTCCGAAAACATCCGTTTGCTTCCAAATCCGTGCGTGGTAAAATCTTGGAAATGTCCGAAGTGGCTCGGATCCGTAGGAAACGAAACTGACGTGGTAAAGTGACGCTTCCCGCACGCTAGATCGGTGTGTAATTAGGTATTTTACAGACGGGAGTAAAAGAATATTATTTTCCTGAGATCTGTATTTAAGATCGTCGGTTAAATTTTGCACTGTATAGAGTATTCAGGATTTTCTAAAAAATATAAAAATTAAGAAAGTAGAACTCAAAGTCAGAAAGTTAAGTGTTGTAATAGATAGTATAATAATTTACCTTGAAAGTAAAATAATATATTAATGTGTTTTTCAAAATTTCTTTCTATTGTCTTGCTCCTCAGTGTAAAACTATATTAATACTATTTTTAACTGCATTTGTTGATATATTTGTCGATATTCTCTGTTAACCCTTGCAACGTTACGTGTGTTTGAATATTATGATTTTATCCGTTCATATTTTACTAACAGAAGATAGTGTGTAGTCTTTAACAATAACATATCGGAGTTGAGGGTTGTGAGCAGTGGCGTGTCTCAGGGCTCCGTCTTGGGTCCGCTACTGTTGACTATTTCCATCAATGACTTGTATCATTTTCTGTTCCCCAATAAATGTACTCTTTATGTGGACGATACATCGTTTGTGACTTATGGCAATGAACTTATGCACAATGTTGATAATGTTGAGCGATTGGCAGAACTTTGGTTCACCAACAATAACATTAAACTAAATACAGATAAGACACTTAACTAATAATTAACTAATAATAATCTACTGGGGGGCAACAATGTGAGGCTCTTGGGAGTAACGCTTGACCATAGTTTAAATTGGACCGCTCATATTATTAACATCTTGTGTAAAAAACTGGCCTCTAATATTTTTATAAAACGTAAACTTGAAGGACTGGTTACCGCGGGCACATTGCGAGTTACCTGGAGCACTGTCGACTAATTTTTAAGAGGTTGGAAATTATGCCACTTCCTTGTCTCTCTATTTATTATCAATTATTAGAAATACACAAAAACATAGACAGCGAAAAGTAAAAAAAATCACTAAACTTAAATTTGTACAATAAACTATCAACTAACGTGAAAGTCCTAAGTAATAGAAAATTAAAAAAAAAACATCTTAACCTTTCTGCAATGGCTTTCCACAATTTTGTTGATGTTGCTTCCTTTTTCTTTATTTATATAAACGTCTTGTTTGTTATACACTGTTTGTTATATACCTGTTCTTATGTATTATATTATTGTCTTGTTTTTTATATACTTATTGTATTTATGACTTGCCATAATTGTATGGACAAAACGTGGTCAATAAATTCAATTCTTTTAACATTTACTGTAATTTTATTGAAATTGAATAGCAATATCCCGAAATCTTATTTTCATTATTTTTCAGGGTTTATCCTGAACTCATTACACATGGTTCAAAGACATTTTTCACGAAGATTTTTAAAATGTTGAAATTCGATACGGCGGTCATAAAAAAAACAAAAGTTGACTTCGGCCGTTCGCGACATAGAATTCCTAATTTTTTTACACCATTTTTAGCATCGCCGCATAACAGCATCATCCTACGCGTATAAGTCAATCAAAAGGATTTTTGCGTTTTTTTTTAATATCTAGATTCTAAGATTCAAATGTCATCCGGCGAATTACGGACCCTTCTAGGGAAAAAATCTGAAATCTGGCAATGCGGCGATGTAGTATTTCGTCAGAGTAAAAAACGCGTTGTACGCGAGGCGGATAAGTGGGCCGTTTTTTGAACGAAAGCCTCCATTAATGATGCAGTGCCTGGCGGCTTGAATGTCGCAAACCGAACGACAAGGTAATGAAAAAAAATAGAAGAACAAAAAAGCGCCCGCGAATCCGTACAACCGGAAAATTCTTTTGTTTTTTTTTTTCGTTTCGCGGTATACGTACTTTTGTTTTCTTTCCGTGTGTATAGGCGGCCGGATGTCACGTGATTTCGTTTTTGACTGCGCTGAAAGGTCAAGAGGGCCATTTCTCTTTATCGCTTCTCTTTTGACACAGTGCGGTTACGTCACGTACAGTGACGTAATCAAAAATGTCTTAGCAATATTGCCACCATTTTTAAGTGAGTTCCGTATGAGTATATACAATTAGGTTTATTTTTGAATGACTAAAAATTAAGTATTGCTTATTTACATCAGAATAAAAGTGGTCCATTATTTCTTACTAATGTCGTTTGGTTTGTTGCAGGTAAGAAAAGTAAAACAACTGATTTACGAGTAAGTATACAAATTTAATCGGATTCCTGTACCAGTTAACAAATGGCTATCGTTTTTTGTACGTGACATTAGCGTGTAAAAACTTCTCACGGACTTGGTAAAATTGAAAGATTAATCTAAACCATTGCAGCAGTGTGCAAAGATTCACAGATTCACCAGTTGTGTTTTTTCTAAAAGCTTGCCTCACAATGTACCACTGTATCCTCACTTTATCTAAATTATAAAAAGGAGATTAAAGAATGGCTCCTAACCTGTCCTTTAGGCGTGGAGGCGATAATCATGAGCTGCGTAGAGTCACCAAGCCTAATGTAAAGAAGAATGGGCTATCTAAGAGGAACCACAATAAGCCTGCTGAGGCCTAAGTGCTGTAGTGTAAGCATAACTGAAGATACAGAAGTGTGGCTCAAAATCCAGATAGAGTGACCAAAAACATCGTCCAAATATTCTTCATCTACTTAAATTCCATTGTCTCGACAAGCACATATTAATTTTTCAGATGCTCTAGCAAAAGTCAATAGAAGTTGTCGATAGAAAACACTTCCAGAAGTGTGGAACAACACAGTATTGTAGAGAATCAGATTAAAAGGTGAACAACGGAGGTTCGCCTTGATAGTGTTTACCGTACTGTTATAATATTTATAGTGTTCGATGATAACATCATTAAAACCCATTTTTCATATATCCGTTTTTGGGACTAAGATGGAAGACGTTCACAACATAAAAAGAAACTTTAATGGAACTTAACATAGACTTTGGACCTCAATAAGTCGAGAGAACCAGTTGGTGCTCTCACGTAGACGGATCTACAAATTTTAAAATCTTCAGAAAATTTTAGAACTTAATTTTATAATTGATAAAGATCTAAAACCATAACGGTCAAAGATTAGAACGCTGAAAGTAATTTATCGTGGAGTTAAGAGTTAAGGAGTCACCAAGCTTAAATGTAAAGAAGTATGGTCTAACCCAGAGGAAGCACAATAGGTCTCCTGAGGCCTAAGTGCTGTAGTGTAAGCTCAAACTGAAGATACAGAAGTGTGTAACATCATTAAAAACAATTTCTCCTATATCAATTTTTGGGACTAAGATGAATGACGGCGACAACATAAAAAAGAGACACGAGAATTGAACTTTGCACTACGAGAAGTTGAGAGAACCAGATCATGCTGAAACGTAAGAGTAGAGGATCTATAAATTTTAGAATCTTCGGCAAATAGTAGCACTTAATTTTATAATTGATACAGATCTAAAACTATAACGGTCCAAGATTAGAACGCTGAGAGTAATTTATCGTGGAGTTAAGAGTTAAGGAGTCACCAAGCATAAATGTAAAGAAGCATGGTCTATTCCAGAGGAAGCACAATAGACCTGCTGAGGCCTAAGTGCTGTAGTGTAAACTCAAACTGAAGATACAGAAGTGTGTAACATCATTAAAAACCATTTTTGCTATATCAATTTTTGGGACTAAGATGAATGACGCCAACAACATAGAAAACAGACCAGAATTGATCTCGGACGTATGAGCAGCTCGTTTTAATGGTCGTTTCGGCATTGGGACGACGGAAAACGAACGATTACGATTATTAATTTTATGGTAAATACTGATCCGGTTCGTTAACCGAAGAAACCGATCCGATCCTTTCTACGACGAAAGCAACCTCGCAGGTGTTTCTTCGAACCTCGACTATTTTTATTGTCGCAATAGGAATTTTTCATTACCCGACCGAAAGGTTCCGTTCGGCTGTTCTATTAATAGAACGAACGTACGGAAATTAAATATTTTAGAATGATTCGCGGGCCTCCTTTTTTTGTTCCTTTCTTCCGGGCAACGGAGGCGGATGATTAACGAGTTTCGTAATGAATTTGAATTTTTATTACGTTGTTATGGTTTTCGCCCCCTCTCGGGCCCCTCTTAACAGATACCATTTTCGTATAGATCGGCGGCAATGGCCGCTCATTGGTAATAAATAAAATCAGCTTGGTTCTTCTCCTTTTTTATTTTTATGGCCACTACTACCAGGATCATTCGGCAGTGTCGATTTCTCTTAAGTCCCAGAAGGGTACCTTGATGAAACAGACTTGGCAGACAGTCGCCTGACATCCACCGCTAGGTAAAGGCGTTCATATGGCCACTTCAACCCTGCTATGCGTTTCGCGATGTCGGTTACCTTTGTTCTCTCTTTAATGATTTTGTTAGGAATTTGTTTGTCAAGGAACAGATGAAACCTACATGGAGAGGTATAAGGTATTGTGGTCGATTTTCCGTCAGTAGCTCTTGGTGATACACTTTAATAATAATAACAATAATATTTTTTGTTTCCATTGACTTTTAACAAAAGTATCGGATAATGTCAACAAGTAAAAAAAAACATTAGTACACTAAAATACAAGCTTTAAGAACAGATACGTACAAACACACAAAGTATGCTTCGATAGAATAAAAAACGTTTTTATTCAAAATAAGCTTTAATTTTTGCTTAAATAAATGGACACGCAATATCTGTTTGACGGACAAAGGCAACTTATTATATAAAATCATAGAGCTGTTAGTTACTTTGGCTAACTTTTGACTGGTCATGCAATAATTAGATAGACTCTTTATGTAAATTATGCTATTTAATATAAAAAGAGAAGGAACCGTTAAAATATTTAATTTTGGGAACAGGGTTCTACAAGAGTGACCACGAGACTTCCCCAACATTGTTCGAACAATACGTTTTTGTTGAAGCTGAAGCTGAAGATCCACACTCGACCGCAGTCGCCAATTTGGCCTGTCCAGGAAAAATCCTTTCTAACCGATAAGCTCTTGTTCAAATCCCTAAGCTAAAACAATATTATCTCAGTATTTGTCCCGTTCAAACAAATACCGTTACGCTCACAATATCGGGTATACCACTTACTGCCCTAGTGGCCAAGAACGTGAGATCTTCCAGACTCCTAGGTGTCACTGTCACAGCAGTATCATCTGCATATAAGGAAACATAATTGTCTGGGAAAGAATCAGATATATCATTAATAAATATTATAAATAATAAAGGCCCCAGTATGCTTCCCTGTGGGACACCTCTGGTGAGTTCTATAGATGAGGATCTAACCACAGAAGTATCACTTCTAAGCACAATTCTTTGGTCGCGACCCTTCAAAAATGATTGAATCCAGGCGTAACTATTCCCCCGTATACCGCAATTATTTAACTTATTCAACAACAAATTAATATCAAGCACATCAAAAGCTCATTTGAAGTCTAAGAACATACATAATGTTTTATTATTCTGATCCAGGTTCGAGACTATTTGATTATATAAGGAAACTAAACAGTCTTGAGTAGATAATCGATTGCGACAACTAAACTGAGAATTTGAGAAAAATTATTTTGGAAAAAGCCGATAGAAGTGATATTCCACGGTAATTTGAAATACACCTAAAAAAGACAGATTAATCAAAAAAGTAAGAGGTTCAACTATAAAATCTGTAACACGTTTTATTAATGAACAGAGTATTTCGTCGTACCCAGCTGAATCTTTTTTGTAACTGACGAAATAATGCATCGAAGTTCAACGCCCGTGAAAGGAGGATAGACTTCGACTTGAGGATTTTTTATTGGTTGTTTGTGTTGTTTTTATATTATTTCTCTTACGCAATTCACAACACATTCAGAGGTCGCGTGTAAATCGACATACTCGCTAACTTCATCATCAATGAAGTAATCTGGAAACTTTTTATGATTAGGTAGATTACTTTCATTTTTTATAATCGTCCACGCCGTTTGAGATTTGATAACGGAGGTTGTAAGAAGTTTATTGTAAAAACTTTTTTTAGCATTCTTAAGTACTTTTTTATAATTCTATAGTTGGTTAAAATTTCATTACTCTTGGTATATTTAAAATATTTGTGCAAGTCTCCAAGTAACTCACCTCGTTCCACAATTTCAACGGAAAGCCACCCTTTTTTGGCTCTGTGGCCCTGGGCATGCATCTTTGATATGGAAAAGACGAGTCTAACAATTTCTGAAATTTTTTATAGAATAAGTCAAATTTCTCTTCACTTGTACCAACATCATCAAACAAAAACTGCCAGTCCACCCTAGATACGTCAACCTGAAATTCATTAATATTACTTTCACTTTTAAAACAACGTTTGTAGAAAAAAGATGGAGGAAAGTTGCAAAAAGGTAGATAGCATTTGCATAAAATGGAAGCAACAGTAGAACTGGCAATAAACAATTCACGCAATAGTTCATCCAAGCAATCTACAAAAGTATCAACGCTTCCGGGAGGAGAACGAAACCATTATATAATTGTTAATATTAAGTAGGGTTATCTCGTCGTAATTATGGTTACATTTTTGCATATCTCTACACCAAGTGTCTGATACACACACTTCATCCGGAAGTTCTCTTTGATCTTTGATCTTAACAGAAAACGATAGGGTGGGGCATTCTGCACCTCTAACATCGTGTATCTTCCAGTCTTGACCTTTGCTTACCGATGATAAAATCACTTATTTGGGTCTACGTGTATTTATGCTTGTGGAATCCATTCTTAGTTTTTAATCAGAGAAGTGGGGAGAAAAACAGTAGCGGCTTTAAATACTAAAAATACAATTAAATAGTAGTACTATTAATTCGAGGAACAATGTTTAATTGACTATTTTAAGAGAAAATCTGCAAGAGAGTGCACAAAAACTTGGGTTGGATCATCACTATTATCTCTAGGCAAGGCCTAAATCGCTACTTTAGAGGTTTTATTCGAAAAAGGGAAGGAGAAAAAATAACACAAAAACTAGTGCCAAGAAGCTGTCATAAATTTAAAAGGTTACCCAACGAACGATTAATCGCGTTTTATATGAGCGGAGCGCCGCTCCTTAGCCAGGCAGTCGACAATAAAAACCGTGCAGCACGAAAATACGAAACATTGATGTTTAAAGAATATTATTAACTGCAATTTTTTGTGTGTCGAATTGGAATTTGTTTTTAACACTTTTATTGATAACCATGTGACGCAATCACAAAAATAAAACTATAAGTATCATACTAAAGCCTGAGCATAATACAACCATTAGAAACATATTTATATAAACCTCAAGAGCTCAAAATAGCTTCTATATATATGCATTGTGGCTGAGCCTCTTATAAAAGATTATGCGTTATGATGAGGTTTCTTGAAGGACAGCAGTAATTCAGTACAAGAAACGGCAAAACGAAGCGGTTTTGTTTTTTGTATATGGAAAAGTGATGCTATAGCCACCTTCCGGATCCGCCGTATAAAAAGGCAAACAAATAACAGGTGTCCAGATGTGAACGCTAAAAGCATAGCCAATTTACAGGAAAGAAGCTTTAAGGAAATTGTTTTGTTATTCAAGGTTCTAAGGTAGCATAAAACCAGCGCCGGGTCCCATGATTTTGTCTCGGTATTAATTAAAAAATGCCCTTAAAAAATCGCTTTATCCCATTTTCTTGAGCTATTTTGGTCCAAGAATCATCTATGGTATCATAAGGAGCCCTTCTATTAAATTCCTCTTGGAGGAACTCTGCTTCCTTGCACCACAAAAACGCCACCACAACTTCCACCCTATATTATATTGCTTCAGTGTAGATGATTTTATCGAAGTTAAAGCGGCTGCTGGCACTCCTCGTGATCAGGGCTGAAAGTTGAAGTTGTTAGGTTGAACGTAAATTGGAGGACATTTCTGAAATTGGAAACGAAGGTCTAAAGTAAAGGCGTCACAATGCCAGGAAACAAATCTTGCAAGAAGGTCTATGTGCTCCAAAGATAACACAACAAATAACTTTACAAAAATATTTATATATTTAATTCCCATATAAATGTTATATATGAGGCAAAGCTTTTTCTTTATACATCAATGCCAGATATTTGAAGAAAGTTTGTTCAATCTGGGGAATTGGATATCTCCAAACCTATTAACATACGCAATGGCGGTTGTGTGGTCTATTCGTAACAGAATATTATGACCACGCAGGCTATTAGCGAAACATTTTGAATAATCTATCCCATTCGAACTAATACTCTTCGTGCAACAAAACAAAATCTTGTGGACGACGGGTAATATTTTTAATTCGCATTCATTTATTTTCATTTGTTGGATACAGCATTTTGATTCAGTTATAAAATTATTTTTGATCCTTTGCAAAATGGCTTCAAATATACCGCTAAAAAAAACCTAAATCGGTTGATCCAACGTATTGGTAAAAATGGTGTAGACACTTGTATATATATATATATATATATATATATATATATATATATATATATATATATATATATATATATATATATATATATATATATATATATATATATATATATATATATATATATATATATATATATATATATATATATATAGGGAGAGAGAAAAAAACCAAGACAATGACATACTTTTCTCATAAATACGAATATTTGTTATTTTGGTAAAACGGCGAAACTGAGACGACAGTAAAGAGATATCAAATGTGATACGGGAAACACGACCTCGTGGTTCACGAATGGGTCAATAGCATCTCCGAGAGAGATCAAGGCCGTGAACGTAAAATATTATGCCGGCACAAAGAGAACTGATCGCCAGTGTGACGAAGACGACAAATAAAGAGATCTCGTTTTATGCATATTAATATTAAGTCACAAAACGTATACGTATATTCGGTACATCCTTGTAAAATCTTCTTTTATGGTTCGATTTTGATTTTTCTTTGTTGGATGGATCTCTGAAAAATGTACTAAAATTTTGTGTTGCCCATTGCTTCAACTCAAAGTTATAGCCAAATGGGACTATTTAATAAAAGAGAGAGAAGAGAGAAACGCTATTACCCTATACCAATTTATAATAATGTTTCGATACAGGGTGTTTGAAATATCGTAAAATCCTTTTTTATAAAACTTCTGGGTTCCTTCTGAGTCAGTTTTTGTTGACTCGAACTAGCTCACTTTTCGCCTGTTGGCTTCTTCAGAGCTTGACTGAAACTAGCTCGCATGTTTTACTCTGTACCTGCTTATATATTGTTTGAGAGGGGCGGAGCTAATTGAGAGGCATAAACACCGTCTCGGATGACTGATTTTCATATTGATGACAGGTAGAGACCTGAGACCTGAGAGACCTGAATTTTAGTTTTATCGAATAAAATTTTATGTCTGGATTCGTGATTGTGTTCGGGAACTGCTGATTAGTTTGTCTTAGTCTTAAGGCTCTTTCATGTTCTTTGAGCCTAGCTGCAATATATTTTTTGCATATGCATGGAATGCTGTAAACTCCTGGAATTTCAAATGGAATTTTGTCTTTGACGGATCGGATGTTGGGATATTTTTGGTAAATCTGGTTTTGACGTTATATTTCTTTAGAAGAGATATGTGGTCAGAGATGTTTTGAATGTAAGAAAGGACAACCGTGGCAAGTGTGGGATTGCTCTCGGTTTCATTGCACCAAATAAAAACCCAGGGCTACCAGTGCTGTGGTGACATAGATGGGCATATTTTGGGTACGATATTTATAAATCAAAAGTTAAGTTATTTGCCGCTCACAATGTTGTGCAAGTTAAAAATTTTCTTAACCTGGAATATCTCAGGGATTGGATAGAGAACGACGGAACTATGGATTGGCCAGCGAACAGCCCCGACTTAACTTTAATGGATTTTTTTCTTTTGGGGACACATAAAAAATCACGTGAGCAGAGACAATCCGAAGACGTTACTAAATGCAATTTGGTTTTTTGTTTACCTTGATATTTCTAAAAACAAAAAGGTTACAGCCAATTAAAATGTTATCAAGACAAAAATGAACGCACTGCACACGAGAGCCAATATATGGCCACCTAAAGATTTACATGAGATTTCCTATGTTCCTTTGGCCCGGTATAGACAGAATTCGGGATATTTTTAATTTTTATCCAAGATTTTAAGTAAAATCCTGCAGATAATCCTGCGACACAAACGTACGTATAATACGACTAAAAATATATTGCATTTATTGCTTTGACGTTTTAAGTATTTACAAAGTGCAAACCTTCGCAGGACCGTGGTAAAATCCATCCCAACATATGTTTATTCTGCAAATATTTATTAGAATCTTACAATGAAACATTTTTTTGAAGGTTCCTGTTTTTTAACACTTTAAAATGTGGTGACCGTGGAACGAAGCAGATGTTCCCTTGTTAGAAGAAGACATGGAAAACAACGCAGAATTTGAAGAAGTGGAGGTGGTAGTCGAACCTAACTACAATTTAGGAGACGAACTAGCGGATTCATTTTTCCTCGAATGCTAAACAAATTGTTTTGAATGTTTATAATTTTATAAGAAATTCAGAATGGAGTAATAAACAGTAAGCAAAATTAATCACGGTGTCGGTTGTAAAAGCACTATATTTTTGGTGGAAGTATAATGCGAATTTCAACACGTGACGCAAATGCAACCGGCTCGCCATTCATCGCATGGAAAATCGGGTCAGACACAATAGCCGTATTTTTTTCGTTTAAAGACGAAACTCATCGGCTAAGGCGTTCAGCTGATCAAATTCAAAGTGCCGAAAATCGCGGTAAATTTGTTTTTGTGACACTCGAAGCAGGAGGGGGCGCCAATCGAGAGACGCGAACAACAAACGGACGTGCTGAAAGTCAGGCGTTCCGTGTTTATTTATGTTTCTGGCGGGGCTATTTTTATTGCAGTGGGAGCCCCGAGTCCTCCATAGAGTCTACTCGTTAAAAAAAAAACGATATTCCTAAAAGGAAAATCAATTGAAAATGCCAACGCGTGATTTAGAACTGTACCGTGAGTTTAATTTATCTTGATAACATTTTAATTAGCTCTAACTTTTTTGTTGTTACAGATATGAAGGTAAACAGAAAAAAAAACAAAATGTAGGGTTAATAGCCGAGTGACGAATAAAACAAAACACTGTCAATTTTCTGACATATAAGCCTACACATTATATATGTGTTTAATAGAATATCTTATTACGATTACAATGATGTA